CTGTCTCCCGCCTGCTCAACAATCATTCACTTATGCATTTTTCTAAATGAATTATTAGGATTAAATAATTTTTGGAATTTTATATTTATTCATGGATTTTGATACTTGCACTTGATTTACATATGTTCTCAGAATTTAAATGATATTGTAGATTAGTTAGCAACAATAATTTAACCATTTATTTGTTTGCATTAAATTTCATTTAAATTAACTTTAAATTTGCTTTTTACGAATGTATATATGTGGTAATACCTTCTTGAAAAAGACATCTAAGAAACTACTTGAAAGGACAGCACGTTTAATTACATTTAAAGTATTTTCATTTTTAACAAATATGTTAGTTATAAACTGAATTAACTTCTTCAATGCATTTTTATTTACGTCTTTATCGTCGTCGTTCTTTTACTGCATCTTGAGTCCAACTCACCTGATTGCCAACTCACAAAACGAAAAATAAAACATTAAAAGAATTATACGATGAACAATCTGTACCCCATCTGGTATTCAACATTGGCACTACATATATAATAATTTTATAAGATTTAAAATAAGCAAGATAACAGACATTTACTACTTTATGTAACAACCAATCTACAAATACATTGTATGTCATTCATATTCTTTATAAAGCATATTATAAACATCATACAACCGTTTCTAAATTAACAGAGAGTGACATGCAATAATACTCTCTATTAAAAAAATCGTCATCTTACTTTTTTAGGGAATAAAGGTTTCGTGTGTTATTTTACGCTACTTTCACAGTAGTATTTTAAGTTTATTCAGAGAAAATTTCAGCAGTGAATTTGTTTAGATCTAAATTTTTGTTCTGTATATGACGTAATTTATTTTAATTTTGGAGGAGATTTTTTTTTCAAGTAAGACTTGCCCAAAATATGAAACACCTATTATAGCAATGCCTCTTTGAAAGTTTACATCGGATCAGTTGTAGTCCACTTAAAAGTAAAGTTATGTTGCAAACCGAAGAAAGTCTCTGATGTTCTGGGACAAGAATATTTTTGGAAATGCTTAAACAGCTTTCAGAAGTTAATGGTACGTGAAACGGCACGAAAATCCAAAACTCTTCGTGTTATCATAACGGCATAGTTCCAATCGCAAAAATTTCGCTACCTTGTTAAAAACATGTGTATGCTATTCATCATAATTACATCAACCAGTGGCGTAACTAGAACTCTTGGGCCCCTATGTAAAAACATTTTTGTGCCCCCTATTAAATTTACAGTACTTTTAAGACGGGTAAAGGGGTGGATATGTATCCTGCCACTTGTAAAAAAAAGTGAAGTGCACAACTAGCTATTATAACACTCCCATATACAAAATTTCAACGCTCTACGGCTGATCATCTTTGAGTTATGCGAGATATATATCTCTATCTCTCTGTACACATTCGTATGCACGTATATGCGAACGTACAGATGTCACGAAAAAAAAATCCCTTTTGAATCCGTTTTAAACCCATTTTGGAATCTTTTTTGAAAGGAAGAGCCCTTTATTCTGTCCGTACGTACAGATGTCACGAAAACAAACTTTATAAATGGATTTGAGAACGGTCAAAATGGATATTTCTGTTGAAACATGATACCCGACCTTTTGGTATATGTAACACTGAATTCAACTTTTATGGGGGCACCTTGTCCTTGGTCATAGTATTTATAAAAGAATGCGTATTTTTTTAAGGTTAATTATGTGAATGTAGTTTAGCAGAACATTCAAGGGCCCCTTAAGCTTTCGGGCCCCTATGAGACAGCACTCTTTGCATACCCTTATTTACGCCACTGACATCAACATGGTATAATGAACCAAGTGTTGACACTCAAAGCTTCGTAAAAGAGCCAGTACGCGGGTTACATATTTCACAAGTGCACATCAGCGTAGCTACTGAGGGACCAATGAGTTACTATTGCTCTTGTGACGCTAAGCGTATGTTGTTTAAGTATTAATTTGCATTTGTTTCGCAGTTATAAATGTATGGCGCAAATAGTAGAAAATCTCGTAGTGCTTTCGTTTTTTTTGAGTTTAATTTAATCGCTGACATTTCACTTCGATTTTTATCACGCATCAATATTTGGATTGATGTTCACGGCATATTGTTGCTCTTTACATCGAGAAAATGACTCAAGCAGCCTCGAATATTATGCATTTACTAAAATCTGTGGATCAAGAGAATTCAAGTGTATAGTTCTTTTCTAATTGAGCTGAGAAGGACTGAAGTGTTACAATGAATCTAATGTTTTCTTATTTCAGAGCTTGCATTCTTTTGGTTTTTAAAGTGTTAAGATTCAGAATACATATTGTGTATGGTCTGATTATATGCATTGTTAAAAGTTATATTTGAATAAATTGAATATATTCGTTGTGAATAAGGTAAACTCATTCTGTTTGATGAGTATTTCTTATGTAGACAATACATTTAAGAGTGAGCAGTTATTAAATGGGAAATTCAACACACTAAATGTATACGAATGCAAATTAGTAAAATTCTCTACACGGTAAAAGGAAAAAAATTCCTGCAGCGAAGCATTCAAATTATATTTTGCCTTTTTCAGATGACAAAAAATGTAATAGTTTTATGTAAAGATAGCGTTTGGGCTCAGATGTTTATCACATATTTATTTTTTCATCTTATTTAACACTTATTAAGTAATATTTCACATAGGATATTTTTACGGAGTATCCAATATATGTTTGTATTTATCTGAAATTCTTTCAACCAAGTACTGAAATCGTCACATTTGCTTATATTTATTACACAATCGTCACAACTGCTTATATTTATTACGCAATCGTCACAACTGCTTATATTTATTACACAGTCGTCGCAATAGCTTATATTTGATCTAACTTCGCAATAAACTTTTCAGAAGAAATGCGACGATGCTTTAATTATTTTGTACAGAAAATTGCGTGGCAGAATATTTTCAACCATCTTGCTTAAATCGTAAGGCACGCGAAAGACAGACAGACGCGACAGAGATATTGGATACCCATTGCTCCATCCTAAAAGCCACTCCCTCGTTGGTTATACAGATGTGCATTTGTGAAATATGCGCGCGGGTTAAAACGTTTGGAGTCCCCTGATCAATCTATAGCTGTACACGAACCATCCAACGCGAGCAAATTCGGATGGTATGTTTTAAGAATACAGCAAAATTTATGCCACAGTTAACTTTTAACATGTTATTTAATCAAAAGTAATATGGGCTGTACTGTGTTCTTAAATCTGTATTTTGTATATTATAAGTACAGCACAAAGTAAACAAAGAGGATTTCTGTGTGCAAAATGTGTAATTTGTTTGTAATGTGCAATTTTGCTCTTTATTAAGAGCTCTTAATTTATTTTATCTGTTGTATCAAGTTATTTATTTAAGTCTGTCTTATATAACGAAGTTATGTACTATATAATCCAGTTATGTCAGTTTTAAACAATTACATTGTTCAGAATCTATGTTGAATTGTCAAGAATAATGTTCAGCGTAATATGTTGCAAAGAATGTATAGTGTATTAAGTGTAGCATTGAGTTGTAAATGTGCCTTAAGTACAGTGCAATGATCAATGCAATGCATATTATGAAATGTATATTGCAGCGAGTATGTGTAGCAATGTGTTAACATGCGATGTAGCCAGGAAAATGTTTAATTTCGCACGCAGAAAAATCTATATTTTGCCCTTGTATGGCCATGTACTTTGCCCTTGTATTGTTTTCGGAGTGTAGCTTCAGATAGTTGCGGGATCCGGACGATACCCGACTAGTCTATGTAAGCCGTCCGGGTGTCCGGACCTGCTCTCACCTGTCACCTGTCACCTCCTTTGTGACGAGGTAAAAAAAAATTCACTTATATGACTTGGGCAAAGAACGTTTCTGTCAACACATATTCTTTGACTTGGGCCCAGTTTCTTTCCTTCAAAGGCAACGCAATATCTCGTATCGCACTTCTCATTTGACTCCTAGATGTCGTCACGAGCAAGCCCTTCCCTGTTGTTTGGTACCACTATGTTTTTGAATGCCATCTGACAGCAGGAAATCACCTCCCTCTTCCTATCAACAATAGTGAAGCTTATCACCGCTTCCTTATAAAGCACAAACCGGCAGTAAATACAATTTGCAAAGTTGTTAACAAGCTCAAGAGAATGGGCCAAGATTTGTGCTCTCCTCATTAACCAAAACTCTCAAGACATGATACACTAACTAAGTCAGCATGCAGTTCCACATTCTCAGACACATAAGTCTACTCCTAAAATTTACATAAGTCCCTATTACAGACACCTTTCAAATAATGTACAATCAAATGTATTTAACATTTCCTCTTCTGTATATGCATAATACTTAATTTTTTTTTAAATTTTTATTTATTTTATTTATTTTATTTTATTTTATTTTAATTTTATTTTTCTTTTTTTTTCCCTATGAGCCTGTATTTTGATCCTATTATTTTGTAACTGTATTTTTGTATCTGTATATTTAATTTGTATTTTTTTATTAGAATTTTATTGTGAATGTGCAAAATTACCATAGCAAATTGCAACAACAAATGTCAAAACGGTAAAACGAATGCAATCTGCCCTTGTATGGCCATGTAAATGATCTTGTTAACATCCTAAAAAGCTCCCGAGGCGGCCTCTTGAGGCCCCAGGGAGTTGTTCCTGGTTAGTGGAGGGCGCGGGACACATGCCTGTTTACCTCTGTTAGACATCAGGCGTCCCCGTCCTCCGTTACCAACCTACCAACCTGTTGTTTGGTACAATTGGAAGCACACTCGAAGCATATTCAAGAGGTCCAGGATTCGAGACCGGGTGAGGGCAGTGCTCATTTTTCACGTAGGCTGCTTCCAAAAAAAATCTAATGATTCTACAGACTCTGCTATTAGCAAAACTGTTTTATGAGTGAACTTCCTTAGCTTTGATTAACTGAAGTCTGTGTCTATGATTGATTGCCTTTTAAATATTACAAAACATTTACAAGTAATTTTTTTATTTCTAGGTGTTCTACCAAGTTCAGACTTAGAACTAGCCTGGATGGAAGAGAAGCCTTTAGATTTTAACAAAAATTTCTTCCTTCAGGGATTCCTTCTCACAAATTACAGCCTGGAGCAAAGTATAGCTTCTTATAGGCAGACAGGTAAGCTTCCAAAAATCTTAATTAAGTGTGTGTTTTTTTCCCTTGCTGTGACTTTTGCGTTTCTTATGATTTTTGTGTTTCTGTGATACATCCAATATAATTATATAAATGTATATAATGTGTATAAAATCAACTAGTAGAAATCTACTGAAAATATCAGATCCAGTTTAATAAAAATTGGATCATGATTCTGAAGAATTCGGAACACATTTTCTTGCTTTAGTCAAAGATTTCTATAGAAACTTTCGAGTTCGTAAACAACATTATACGATCAGTAAACTTAAAAGGTTTTCGTTCTTCGCATGCCTCCGTGGTGTAGCGGTCAGCACACTCAGTGCGTATTCGAGAGGTCCGTGATTCGACTACCGGCAAGGGCATTGCTTATTTTTCATCTCTCCTTCTTCGGAAAAAACTAAATAACTTTGTACAGTGGTGCCCGAACTAAAAAAAGTGGTGTATGATGATTCTCCACCACCAGAATTTAGCGACTGGGACCCTAATCTCTAGTTTCCCTTTAAAAGGAGGAGTATATAAGGTATTTCTCCCACCTTCTTAGCATGCCTTCGTGGTGTAGAGGTCAGTAAACTCGGCGCGCATTTGAGAGGTCCCGGGGAGGGTTTGCTCATTTTTCATCTCTAAATAACCTAATGCAAACTTTTCTTTTGGAGATTAAAATCAATGGACAAATTTTTATTTTTATAAAGAGTTTTAAACGTAAATTTTGAAATGATCTATGATACGAAAGAAAAAGAAAAAAAAAAAAACTTGTGGAATAGATTTTTTTTTACTAATAAAAGACTTCAATATCGTTTTCATTTTTAAAAAATTTAAATAAACATAAATGTACTTAAAAAATAGTTTAAATTAAAATTAAGAAATCATTTCTATGATCAGAGATACAACATAATATACAATAATCAAAAGCATTCATTTCAGGAATTAAATTCTTATAATTAACGAGATAATTTTAATCTTTTAACCAATTTTGTGAATTAAAATGATTCCGTTCTTCTATAATTTTTTTTTTTATAATATAAGCAATACTGTGCAAAAAATTACACAAAGTGTTGCATAAATTTACAAGTTAAAAGGACGTTAAGCTAGGGGGGAAAAACTTGATGTGGGCACCACATGACTTCCATATATGGCCTATTAAATTACACATTTTTTTTTTTTTTTTTTTTTTTTTTTTTGCTATACTTTATTTAAACTTATTTCCCCGAAACTAACCGATCCCTTCAGGCAAGTTGGAAATGACATCCATAACTGCGAATTTCGAAATTAAATATGCCGGTTAATTTTTGTGCTACGGGAGTTAAACTTCACCTAATTTTATTTGTTCGTAACGAATATAAAACTTTCCCAAATATCGGCGAAGCGGAAGTCTACGTTAAGAGTAGGAGTTCATTTCTGTCGAAAATGACTTTTTTTTTTTAATTTGACATTGCCAAAACATGAATATTTTCATCATTTAAAATACTTCAGTAGTTGGAAGTTTATGACTGCGACCAATGTTTGGGAAAATGCCGGATAAGGACTTTTATGTCGGGTAAAAGTTCGTATATACTATATATATATATATCCGAACTTTTACTTTAATATATTTAGCTCTGCCGACTGCAGTAATAAAGGGAGGTACTCAACTAGATGTTATATCAATCCCACACACAAGATTTCAACGTTTTGAAACTAATTCCTTTTGAGTTATGTGAGATACATACAGGGGTTGGACAAAAATATGGAAACTCCTTTAAAAAAAAACATGTTTCTTTGCTTAATATGGTGTAGGAAACCCGTTGGCATCCAAACAGCTTGCAGTCTTCTCGGAATGGATAAATACAGTTCCTGTATGTTTGCGAAGGGAATATTATACCATTCTTCCTGCAAAACGGTGGCAAGTTCAGATAACGATGTTGGCGGTGGATAACGAGAACGTACTTTCCGTTCCAATGTAGACCACAAAGGTTCGATAATATTCAGGTCTGGTGACTGTGGTGGCCAGGGGAGATGGGACAACTCATCCTCGTGCTCAGAAAACCAGTCCTGGACAATGTGAGCTGTGTGAACAGGGGCTTTGTCGTCTTGGAAGACACCATCACCATCGGGGAACAAAGTTTGTACCATGGGATGAACTTGATCGGCCAAAATGTTCACATAAATCTTGGCAGTCATGTGCCCTGACACAGTTATCATGGGGCTAGCAGAGAACCACGATATGGCTGCCCAAACCATAACAGAACCCCCGCCATGTTTCACTCTTGGCAACAAGCAGTCTGTATTATAGGCTTGAGATGGCGTTCTCCAGACGTAAACTCGGCCAGAAGTGGGAAACAATGTGAAAGAAGACTCGTCAGACCATATTACTCGCTTCCACTGCTCTATAGTCCAGGCTTTATGACTTAAACACCACCTTTTCCTGTTACGGGCATTAGCATCACTGATGAGTAGCTTCTCGATTGCAGCACGGCCAGCAATTCCCTGTTTATGAAGCTCCCTTCTAATTGTTTTGGTACTCGCAGGGTTCGGTAACACAACATTCATTTCAGCAGTAAGTTTTGCAGCTGTGGTCTTCTTATTTTTCGTCACAATTGCCCTCAATGATCGTCTGTCACGATCACTCGGGACACGCTTTCGTCCGCGCTGTGATTTAGCAGATGATGTTTTTCCGCTTTTCAAATATGCGGAATAAATCTTCGATACACTACCTCTTGAAACACTAAACACCTCGGCTACCTTGCTTACGGAAGCACCTACCATACGTGCTCCAACAATTTGCCCACGTTCCAAGTCTGTTAACTCTGACATAATGCAATGACAACCTCACATAACAGTACTCCGACAACAACTGAACTGTTTAGCACATTTACGAAGTTGTATAGGTGGCGTCAGTAGTCAAAAACGCCAGCGCCACCTACATATTTCATTAAAATCAATCTTTCTTTTCAAACATGCATCTCACATGGTGTTTCCATATTTTTGTCCATCCACTGTACATACGTACGTACTGACGTCACAAAAAATCCCTCTTGAATCTATAGTTTAAATCCAATTTGCAATCTATTTTGGAAACAACAATCCTTTATTGCCCGTACACACGCTGTAAGTACGTACTGTCATTAAATACAAGGTGTCGTGCAAAATAATCGTCCAAATGGAGTCAGGAATGTAAAAATCGCCGGGATAATTATTTAAATTTTTACAAATTCTTTTACAAGTTAAATATTTCTATTTTTTAAAGATACATTGATATGAGAATAACTCTTAGGTGTCTGATGATGTTATGAGCCAACTAAACTAATACAGTTTTCGTAAAACTTAATTTCCTTTTTGAGAAGGAGCAAAGCATGTATGAAGAATATACTAGGCATTACTATATATATTAGGTTGTCAGAGGCTGATTGTAAGAACTAGGCTTTAAGATGCTGGTTGTAAGAATATACTAGGTTGTCAGATGCTGATAATTTTTTGTGAGAGAATTATCAGGATTTCTCAAGAAGCTTTTATGTATTATTATGTCTTGGAATTACAACGCGATTTCTGTTAGAAAAGAAATTTAAAATTTTTACAACATCCAATTCAGTAAATAATTACAATTCCAGTTATAGAATGTAAATCGAATTTTGTAAAATGTGTCATATGTTTTGTAAAAATTATTATGAATTCCCAATTAGTCTCTATATCATTCTGTCTTGTAATGCCACCGTAATTCTGTTAGTGAAGAAATTCAAAAATTCAGTAGTTAAGTGATAAGTTCATAAGGTTTGAGATTTGAAAATTCGGTATAAAACATGTTTCTGATAAACATGTAGACTTGATCTTAATATTTTTCTTCATTCTCTTTATTTTTAATCTGGTGTTACATGAAAATCCAGCTACAATCATAAATCCTTTTGCAAAACTTTCTTTGCAATTAGATTCTTTGAACTAGTAGGTTTTAAGAATTTTTTCCTCAACTTCGATGGTAATAAATGGATCTCCTTTTGCTGCATTCATTTAAATACACTAAAGTTTCATCTATTGAAACAACTTTTTCCCATTTTTATCCGGATAAATGTTCCTCATAAAGAATTTTTCAACGCATTCTGCTTTCGGCTATAATGTCGTGGCGAAAGATGATGCACATTAGGGTTTTTCACCATTTTAAAATTCACATAACATTAATCACTTTGTTTACAGTTTAAGAATTTTAATGATTTTCCAGCTGCCCTTTGACTTATTTTGATTTAACAATTTTAGATTAACAATTAGGATCTTACCTTTGCAACATTCGAAACATTCCGTTTTTTCTTTGGATGTGTATATATGGAAAATATTTTCCGCTTGAGGCCAACTTTGACGTGTTTTTCTTTTCTTGTTGACAGTATTACCTATTGCAAGTTTAGATATCGAAAAACCACGGCTTTCACAATGTTTTTTAATAACTATATGCGAATAATTTTCTTCAGAAAGAGCACAATCATAACTTCTTTAAAAACGTCATTTTGTATGAAAAACAGAACTTTCAAGTAGCAGACGATAATTTATAATTTAAAAAATGCAACTGCAGTTAAAAAGAATTTTCCAGCAGACGATCTTTTTTTATCGCAAAGCAAAAATCGCGTAAAAAATGTGCAAGCAGCATCTGTATGCAGATTACCAGTGTTAAATCTTCGAACTGAAACTCCGAAATTTTTTATCGTAGAGAAAGCGTTCAAACTTTGAATTTCAGAGATGGTTGATTCATCTACGTAGAATTTAAGACAACATTTATTTAATATTCTTTATAAACACTACTCTACCCAAAAAAACCCCTAAGTATTAAAAAAAAAAAAAAAAAAATCAATCTTAAAGGTGACCAACTGCCAGTTACTACTGTATCCAAATATGGAGCGAATAAAATGTCAGGACGTGTAATAAGATTGAATAGATGTAATGACGTTAGTTATTACTGTACGATGAATTCAATACATTTTCGAATATGTTAAATAATATTAACATCTTGTCGATGGCATGCTCATCAGCTTGTAGCTCTGGCATCCTGTCAATAATTTGTTTAATAATTTTAGTAAATGAGAAACCCTTAAAAATATCAACAAGTTCTTTGAGGAACTTAAAAATGTCCATAAAGGTATTAAAAACTTTAATTTTTTGCTCTGTCCTTAGCACTTTTCACAGTATTATTAGCATGTTTATATTCGTCAGTCTTAACATTAGAGATAGCAGTTTTACCTTTGGCAGCGTTAGCGTAGCTAACACCTGGAATTGCAGGTTTAGTAAAAACGCTGTTTACATTAGCATTGGCAGAAACAATATCATTTTTAGCATCATCCGAGTTCATTTTTTGGGGCTTAGGAAACCGAGGACAGCCAAGAAAATTCGCGATGTGCCCTGGCTGACTACAATTATAACACATGACTTTATCTAAACTTTTTTGTTTACAATTCTCAGTTTTATGAGTCCCCTCACACTTAATGCAACTGGGCTTTAATTTACAGTTTTCAGCAGGGTGGTGGAAATGTTGGCAGTTAACTTGTAAAAATCGCTGAACACTGGTAGTTCCGATCTGGATTCGATTACTGGCGAACGGGAAAGTTCTCCTGGAACAATCTCAACCCTCATTTAAATAACAAAATAAAACAGTCTCAATCTTCACTTAAATACACTTAACCGTAATTTTTCCGTCATTTAAGCTATAATACCGTCATTTAAACCGTAATATCTGAAAATGATACTTATGTATTAAGACAATTTTTTTTTTTTTTACCTTGGCGCAATCTGCCAATATTTTACAGGTGAAAAGGTAATAATAGTTTTATAGAAAAGATTCCCAAACTATCTGTTTTTATCGCAAGTTGCCAGATATTATCAACATATGAACAGAAAGAGTACTTTATCAATTTCAATTATTAAATAAGGATTATGCGATACATTAAAAGATAAAACACATTCATCTCCAGATCCTTCTCTTATTTTTATGGCACTCTCCCCAAGTACACAGCGATCTATTTTCGCTTTGAAAATTATCAGAAACTGTAGAGACTGGGCATCGTGCGAACTTCAGCAACATCGGTTGTCTACCAAACACATCTCCTCATTGCTCCTTGTAGAAGATTTTCGGCAAAACACTGTATCCGTAAATAAATTATACAGTAGTTTCTTCCATTGCTGGAAAATTTCACAAGCCCATATTTTAAAATTGGGCTTCTGGAATAATAAATCAAATCAAATAAATCCCGCGTTTAAGTCAAACAGAGTCGCGGTTTGCTTATAAATACCGTTGGTACTTTGAATACAACAATACGAAAATACCGTCGTTGCTTGACTGAAGAACTTTTGCGAACATGGTGCCCGAAGAATGGTTATGCGCATGTTTGCTTGGCACATTCTGAAAATTTGGCGACTTGTACTGTGGTTGCGATAATGCACAAGTGCTCTGAAAAGATATTCTTCTAAAAATGATCGGCTTAAATAATCATTGCATATATCAATGATATATCATAGATTATCTGAGTTCACTGCTCTTGATTATTTTATTTTAAATATCAAAACCTATTTTTACTGTATGATTAAATTTCTAGCACTCTGAAATGTCTAGTGTTTTAAAATATGAAATGACTAGTGTCATTTCATTTGCACTTTGGTAGCTGAAGAAGATGGATTGGTAGTCTTGGAAACTTTGCAAATATCACGCTGATTTTTGTTGTTTGACTTTTAAAGTAATACATTAAACTCATTAGTGGGCTTTATAGCCTAAATATATAAGGAAAATTCTTTGTGTTGTTCTAATTTAAAATTCGATCCTGCTTTAAATATTTACAGGAAATTTCAGTCGGATTACAGTACGTTTCGATCTTCAGAGAGAATTTGGACATTTCCTGTTGGACATATATATTCCAAGTATATTATTTGTTGTTACGTCATGGTTGTCTTTCTGGGTGGAAATTCCAGCTGCCCCTGCTCGAGTGACCTTGAGCATGACCACGATGTTAACGTTGGTCACCAGTGAAAAAGCTATTCGAGAGAAACTTCCGAAAGTGTCTTACGTCCATGCTCTAGACGTATGGAATGTAGTTTGTACTGGTAAGTTTTTGAGTTGACTTTTTATGATATATATGTAATAATAAAATTCCATAGTCAAGAATACACTTAAATTTCTAACTGTAGGTTCTTTTCATTTTTTAATGGCGACGGTTTCTTATTTGAAAGTACGTGGAATTAAATCCACAGCCCCGTAGTCAAGTTTTTTTCCCGCCTTTTGTACACGTGCAGTTATAGAATGTTCTGGAAATATTTAAAGCGAACTGGATTGGCTGACGAGGCTGACGTCATTTCTTGGAAGCTCCGCCTTTCCAGAGGCTATAAAAGGACTCGCAAAAGAATATCGGCGGCTTTTACTTAAATGTCACGATTCAGTAAACTTCATACAAAAAGTTATTAGTAATTCTTTTTATTTACTCCGGATATCTGATTTTGTAACTGCTATTTCTCCTGAATAATAATAAATGGATCCTTTTTTTAAAAAAAAACTTATCGTCTGATAATTTAAGCTACGACTAAAGCTGGTACATCACATATATATGTAAGATAAAAATTTATGAATCAAAATTATAGTTTAAACTATAAACATTAATTCTTCCTCTTTATTTCTAAAATCGTAATAACTTCTCTACATTGCGTCATTTCGAGATCACTCTATGGCCCGTGCAGCTCTGATGACTTAATAATTGGGAACTGAAACTGCCTTTGTAAACCAAAAATTTTCTCCTCGCCGTGCTTCCGTCTTTCATAACTACGCACTTCAGCTTTGCTCTCTATGATGATAAGATGTAATTTCGCTAGCTTGCTTTCTATCTTAACAATATCAAAAATGTAAATCTTCTGTGGAAAGGCACGACTAGAGTGCCAAGTGATTGTGGCCACAAATATCAGTTGCAAATAAAAATGGAATTAAAACTGCCTCGACTGCCAAGTTCTTTAGAAATTACCAAGTTAGCATTACTAACATACTACGCAACCAAAGTCTTCTTCCATATAGGTCTAATCACGCATCTACAGTGTTCCGTTTTTCCTTTGCTTTTATTATGACATGTATATATAAAAATTCTATCACTACAAATCTGATTAATAATAATTTTAAAGCATCACCCATTAATACAACTCTTTTGTTCTATAAATATCCTTTGCTCGGAGAAGAAAAAAACGCCAACGCCCAAAGAAAGCATAGTTTTCAATAATTATTTACATGCAGATATTTCAAACATGACTATGCAAACCATGAAGCCGAACAGTGGTTTGTTAAAGCAAAATGAAAACGCAAAATCATCACGCGCAAAGCATGTTTGCCCTGTTTGGAATTTGCATTTATTGTGCAATGTCATATGCGTCAGCATTTGTATTAGCTGTATTAAGGAAATGCGCTTTGTAATAACTCAGCTGTCGACGCTCTTTTAATTCAGGACAGCTATCCAATTTCTCCTTTATGGAATACCTTTGGAAGATGATATGCTCTTTTTACTTATCTTGAAACTCCGATTAGCTTTTCGCATTACAGTTGGTATTCTATACTTCAAGACATTACCCAAAAATTGTACACATCTGTTTTAAGCTACCTCCGTGCAGAGACAAAAATTTAGCCTACTGATTTCTTTTACTTTTTGAATTGTTGCTGCTTCTGGTATTGTTATTAATCCTCCTGACCTAAATATGAACCAGATCATATCCATGAATTTTATCGTAGCCGAGAAACGACGATTACACTGTCTTTGGTTTAGACCAAGGTTTCTTAAACATTTTTCAGTCGCGACGCCCAGGATTTTTCAGTCGCGACGCCCAGGACCAGCCCCATAATATTTACAAAAATTTTATGCTATCCGATAAGTATTGCGCAAATCCGACACACGTGTGAGTGAAACTGTCAATTTTTTCATTTGCACTGTAATATAATAGTGCAGTTTTAGGTCATTAATTTATAATTTTAAGACATAGAACAATGTGAAAATTTTAAATTAGTAACAGACGAAATGACAGCGTCACGTGCAAAGCAAGAAAAATGAACGTTTAATATTATAAAAGAATCCGTCGAAACGTTTTCGTTTTTTTTCTTTGTCTGTATTGTCTTGGCTTTATCTATTTTCAGATACACTGTGTAAAAATATTTGGTAATTGCAAAATTATTATAATAAGTTAAAGAAATATCAAAATTGCTAAAATTTTTGCCGACCCCTGCTGCAGTTCCCGCGAGCATATTTCACAAGTGCACATCTGTGTAGCCACCGAGGGAGTGGCTTCTAGGATGGACCAATGATCATACAGTAATATTTTTTGTCAGGTCACATGACCTTTCGCGTGCTTTAAGATTTAAGCAAGATGGTTGAAAATATTCTGCCACGCAATTTTCTGTACAAAATAAGTAAAGCATCGTCGATTGCTTCTGAAATTTTTCATTGCGAAGTTAGATCAAATACAGGAAATTAATAAGTGGTAAGTAAGATGAAGAAAGAAATATGTGATAACATCTGAGCCCAAATGATATCTTTACATAAAACTATGCATAGGGAAAAATATTTACACCAATTATATATGCAAATAGAACTCAGTAATTTTTATTACAGTCTATATGAAAAAGATGTTATAATAACCAATGAAGAATTTTATTCAAAGTGAACTTTACTAATTTGGATTCGTATATATTTTAGAGTGTTAAATTTCACATTTAATAACTGCTCACTCTTACGTGTACTGTCTACACAAAAAATGCTCATCAAACAGAGTGAATTTATCGTATTCACAACGAGTATATTCAATTTATTCACATATAATTTTAATATTAACAATGAATATAATCAGATAATATGTGTTCTGAATCTTACACTTTAAAAATCAAAAGAATGCAGGCACTGAAATAAGAAAATACTAGATTCATTGTAACACTTTCAGTCATTCTCAGCTCAATTTTAAAAAATATACACTTGAATTCTCTTGATCTACATAATATGTCGTGAACATCAATCCTAATATTAATGCGTGATAAAAATCGCGAAAGTGAAATGTCAGCGATTAATCAAACTCAAAAAACGAAAGCACTACGAGATATTCTACTATTACGCCATAACTGCGAAACAAATGTAAATTAAAACGTAAACAACATACGCTCACATACACGAAGATTTAGCGTCACAAGAGCAATAGCAGCTCATTGGTCCATTTTCGAAACCCCTGCCTCAGTGGCTACGCTGATGTGCAGTTATGAAATATGCTTCCCGCGACCCACAGTTTAAGAAACTCTGGTTTAGACTCTGGGCACTTGCAGATCACAGTAAGAGCATTCCCAGCTCTGTCCCAGTTTTGAAGGAGAATTCCTCTGAGGAGGGTCTGAGAATCTCCCTTCCTCTTCTTTTACCACCAGCCTCTTAAGAGCTCTTTCATTTACCCATTAATTTAAGCGTCTCCATGCCGCTGAGACACTTATATGCTGCCTTACAAACATTCATGCTTTCTCCAGGATTCAACTCCCCGGCTAAAGCTAAGTCAGCCTGCTTCTCTACCATTATAGCAAAAGGCCCTTTTGCAGTTATTCTGCATGAATAAATGACTGTACTCTGAGACTGTAATTATGTCTTCCCTTATCTAGTTTAGCCCATACCTGTTTTCATCATGTTTAAATCATTTCTTTCAGACGTCGCAGTTGCTTTATTTACGTGCTAAAAAATGCACAACATACGCTTTACATAATTAGAAAAAAGCAGTCATTAACTAGAGCTAAATTTTTTTTTTATCATTACTGATGCTTTTATTATAGTAGATATGTATTCTAATTTTAAACTTATAACCGTAATATTTTTGTTCTGTAATGGAAACTTTTCGTGACTTTTATATACTTTTTATAGGATTTATTTTCGCATCCTTGGTTGAGTATGCTCTTGTTAATTACATTTACCATAAGGACAAACGAAGGAGGAAAAGGGCTAATGGAATGAAGAGGGCAGAAAGTACAGCAACATTCTGTTCTATGGACAGCGACACTGGATCTACATTCCGAATGTTTGCGAAAAAGGTTATTATTACTGTTTTACCTTATCGGAATCTTAACTTCTTTGGTTGAAAAATAACTGATGCCAAAAAAAAACATTTTTATTAAAGAAACTATTCATAGCTTTTTCTCAAGAACTTGATGATTTCTTTTCATTTGATTCTGAAGTGAAACGCGAAATTACTTTTAATACATTCTGATAGTTATCCATAAGAATACGTTTCGATCACGAATCCTGTTAAGCTACTTTCTGAAAATTGCAGCGGGGCATATGACGCAGGAACTCCACATATTGAGCAGAATGGAGTACTAACAGACAATGCGCAACGAAATTGCTCACATCGGAAGCATCGTATGAACGTCTTCGATCTCTGTATGATGCCATCTTAAATTTTAGTTATTTATTCATTTTTATGATGAATTCAAATTTGAGAATGTAAGGAAGCAAAAAGAAAAAAATCTGATGAGTACACCACATGACTTCCTTGTACGGAATATTAAATTATACGCATTTTTTCTTGCATTTCATTTAAACGTATTGGATTGAATTAAATCTACTTCGCCGACAGCGCATAAACCACAATAGAATAAATGTATTCTTTAAAATTCACTATATTTGTTTATCATAGCGACAGTCTGGCGCTAGGTTCACTTAACACTATTATATTTCGTTCATATTATAACTCAGAATGCACAAAATTTATATCATTTAAAGAATTATCTAATCGTTGCCACATGTTCTATTCAAATACTATAATAAAGCTAGAACGATGTATAAAAGAAATTAAGCAAACAAAACTAAAAAGAAACAGTTTCTCACAGACGATTGAGTATTTCTCATTCAATTAATTCAGTTCTCACTTCGCGAGAAGGCAAAAATACATAAAAACTCAAAATATCTGTATTAAAAATTACGAAGTAAATCTTAAACACTTATTTCCTCGAAAACATTCCAGAAAGGATTAAGCATGATTTAATTCGGAATAATAAATGAAGGCGTTATCTTTGTTGCTGCGAATCTAAGTTTCTCTAGATTGGCATCAAATCCACTATCCTGCTGTTTCAAATGTAAACAAGCAATGGCCGCCATCAAAAAAATTATTAAGCTTAGCGGCACTTAAACAACTTTAAAATTGTTGATAATTCAAAAAATATTGCATACAGATTTACTAAAGGCATAAAAACCTTAACCGGAAGATAAGAACAACATATGTCAATCATTTTTAAAGCAAAAAATGTACAATTTACAAACATATAAGAGTAAAGAAACTGAGATCACTGAGCCGGGTAACAGAGTGGATATATATATAAATATATTTATATACGTTCGGTGCGGCCGATAGCAACCAAAATACGAGGTGCACATCTACATGTTATAACAGTCCTATATACAAAATTTCAACGTTCTGAGGATACTCGTTTTTGAGTTATCTCGCATAACTTACGTACTGGCATAACGTACGTACGTACGTACATACGTTCGTACAGACGCCACGAAAAATTCTCTTCAGAATTCATTTTAAATCAGTTTATAATTTTTTTGGAGGAAAAGAGTATTTTATTCTGTCCTTACGTACAGATATCACGCAAAAGCATCGTTAAATTGCATTCGATAGCGGTCAAAATGGATATTTTCGTTGGAATATGCTGCCTGAAACTTTTCGCGATTACAATACTTCCTTTTTACTTTGTACAAGGAAGTAAAAAAGGGGGGTTAGTGTATTTTCCATCCCTTTTATGGATAAATTGATTCACTATAAGACCAAAGAAATAGTATATCTGATAAGTAGTTGCAATGTTTCAAATATCAAAAATTTCATCAAGGCCAGAACTGATGCAAATATCTCCGCCCCGCTCCATAACAACCAATAATGAATAGAAGCAATATCTACGTTATTGGAGAATGTCCGAAGCTGCTGCTTTGGTGTAGGTGGGCGAGGCTTTTAATGATTTTTCTTTGTTATGTTAATATGGGGCAGAATCGGGGGTCGTATGAGTTTTCATATCTAAACTCGGGTAACCCAAACTGAGAAATTTCGGATATTAATCTGTTTTTAAATTTGTCTTGCTTCTTTAATTTTGATTTAATTTGACTTCCCGGAAGTGGAAAGTAAATTAAATGGAAAATGTATATCCTTAGATTTAACCCCATTATTGTATTTGGTGATGGCATTAGTTTTGTTAATAACAGGAGTGGCATTAGTTCTGTTAATAATCTCTTCTTGGAGTACTTGAACCCAATCCAATCAATTTGTGGAATTATTTAGTTTCAATTAGCTTTAGAGTTAACTACCTATTTGCAGCACCTCAATTCGAAGAAACAGCATATGGGTCTCATACTTGTATCAATTATAAATGCAAATGTAAAACAAAATCTAAAAATTCGTTTGGGTTTCCGGAAAGAAACCTTCATTAGCACTGCAAACTGCAATTCCTTTTTTAAAAAAAGTTCTTATATATATATATATATATATAAAGAAGATACGAATACGAATTATTAAGTTACTTATGTGGCTCCAGAAAGAGCCTTAATAAACCAGATAAGAAAAGCAGTGGTCGGGAGTAGCTGTGATCGGGATGTGGTACTAAATAGCCACACCCATATATCTAATGCCATAGGAATGCCAGAATTAATAAGTATTAGCTAGAGAATGCCATGCTGTCTTCTTGGATGAAGTAGTCTGTATGTAGTTTCCTCATGCGGATAGACTGAGATGGTATAACAGGGTTATTCAAAAAGAAAGAGCAGATTTCAAACATTTATTCCTTCCAAACTATAAAAGATAGAAACATGATTCTAACGTTAATGTATGGAGAAAAGTTTACAATTATGGTATGCTTTCAATAGGAGCACCGTGTGTTACACGACAAATGTCGAAACGGTGGCTCATTTCTTGCCACACACGAATCAGCTGGTCTTTGGTTATCGAAGTCACTGCTTCAATAATCCGATGTCGTAGATCTTCAAGAGTGTCAGGCATAGGAGGGATAAAAACACGCTCTTTTGCATAACCCCAGAGATAAAAATCGCAAGGAGTGATATCTGGAGACTAATCTGCTCTTTCTTTTTGCAATCTGCTCTTTCTTTTTGAATAACCCTGTGTTGAAGATGAAATCATGTTATTCCTTACCGTTTAAATTATTGTTTCTGCAACCCCAGTCAGTGTGCTTTGCATTTATATCTCCGCCAATTATGTCAGGCCTGCTGCCGTGTTGGAGGGGGGGTAATGGAGGACAGGATACTTTCAGGAAGCTTGTTGTCTGGAAGGTTGTACACTGCAGTGTAGAAAAGCCCCGTACCCTTTGCTGTTACCCTGGGAGATTAAACTAAAAAGAAATTTGTTTTTTACATAAATCCAAGACACCGCCACCTCTGTGCAGGGGCCTGTCACAAAGATATTAACGGTAGTTTATGATTTTTAATTTATCACTATGCCTGGCGCATATTCCAGTAATCATGTCAATGCTACATGATTACTGAAACATTTCTTTATTGTGAAGTTTCTCTTCACAATAAGGAAATAATATATAGACTGCTTAAAAATAAAGCGAAATTACAAAAGAAAGAAATTTATTAGAGAAAATTCTCCAACCAAAATTTATGTAATAAGTTATGTTAATAATGTGAATACAATTATTGTATATAGCACTATCAGGTTCAGTGTTCCTCCTTACTTGCTTGGGGAACATTGAATGACCTGACTCGGAACAGGGAGCTTACTAAAGCTATGTTCAATAAATGTGGGAAGTAGACAAGATACACAGGAAGAGTATACGAAACGCTTTATTTTTCTCTCTTTACAATGATTTCCGGACTTCAGAATACAGAGACCAACTACTTGTGGTCTGAACGTAAGAATATAAAAATATGAACTAAATTCTAACTAAACTAACTTTGCATTAATACCTCTGGCCTTGAAGGCAACCAGCAACCGAGTAAAACTGCAATGGCAAGCGGCCTGCTCCTAATCACTCCTTCCTCTCTCTTGCTTGGCAAAAAGCCACAACTTAAGTACTTGGCGTTCGCAAGACAAATTTGCATAAATAAGTTAAAGCTTTTAATTCTGGCCGGAAGTAGAAAATAAGAAGTGATAGTAAAGATTTAAAATAAAATAAACGTTAGTAAAACTTAAGATCCTTACAGCACTTTATTTGTAAACAGCCAGAATATATGGCAATTTAAAAATTTAAGAATGATTAATAAACACTAGACAAGAGCGGACGTGGGCAGAACCGGTTAACCGTAATGGTAGAGTGAATGGTGCCCACGTCCTCCGTTACTACTACTACTATTACTAAACATGTCAATGTCATTTTATACAATAAAATCGTGGAAATCGACAAACTTATTTCTTAAAGTACATGCATTCCATATGGCAATTAAAATGGGTTAAGTACAATTTGGCGTATTATCCATAACGAAGGGTGGTTGCACAACAGAATCTGTGGCTTTGAAGATAGACTTGTATGCTTTGTACAAAACCGCAAATTCCAGATATCTTGATATAATTTGCAAGGGCTTGCAAGTCTACTAGAACTTTACTGTCGTCAATGAACGGGCCTTTTTGCTGGAGCGGCAAGGACCTCGGCTACGCGGTCAGAGTAATTTCTAAGACTGGGCTTATCCGTGTTTGTGAGTTTAGGAAGACACAAAATAGTAAAATACTAAATACAGTAGAAGTCTAGTCCGGCATCCAACAGTCCGGAATGCCCGATAGTCCGGCATCGCCCCGGAAAATTGTAAAAATTTTGGTTTTCTCCAAAAGTGTGTCTTTAAAGCAAATAAAACCGCTCGAGAGCTATTCGGAAGTTTTCGGGGGTAGTTCGAGATCATCCAGAAGCGCTCGGTATTGTTCGGAAACAATTAGCGGCCGGCTAGTCTCAGCTGTCGCAACAAATTCAGGTGCAGTGCAGCTCCGTTAATCAATCACGAAGCGTCTTCGCCATTTTTTTGTGCGTTGTTGTTTTGTGTCCTTTCACATCGCAGTAAACGTAACTTTTGAAACTGTTTATAAAAAAAGTGATTTTCGTTCTAACTGTACAGTGACCATGTTTTCAAAACCTAAGCCTTCGAGTTGAAAAGGAGAGAAACGAAAACACGTAACACTGACTCTCACTCAGAAACTAGAAATCATCAAACGGCTAGAAAAAGGCGAGAATAGAAATGTTTTAATGAATGAGTTTAATATTGGCTCATCAACTATTTATGACATTAAAAAACAAAAAGATGAACTAAGATGCCGTCTATGCTATTGCACAGTCTTGGAACCAGGTAAAAAATACAACACTCCAAAAAAGCTGGAGAAAACTTTGGCCAGCTGCAAACCCTGCATCTGACCTAACTCTACAGACTGATGAGGAAGAAAACCATCAAGACGCTCTGACCAAAGTTTTGGATGTCGTTAGAAGTACTGACAGTCCCTTGAAAAACCTGCCTGAAGACGAGGTAGAGGAGTGGCTTTTAATCGACGAGAATGAGCCTGTTGAACAAGAACTAACCGATGAGGACATTATCAACATTGTAGTAAACCCTCAGCCTACTCAAAATCTTGAAGAAAATGACTCAGATGCCGAAACGGAAGAAAAGGAAAAAATCAGCTGGGCAGAAGCTGCAGAATCACTAAATAAGTTTATCTCTTTTGCCGAGGTTAGTACTAGCTTCAGAAATTACTGATTTCCATATCATTAGAAATAAATTTTATACTAAACGCCAAAAGTCAAGAAAACAAAAAGACATTCGTGACTTTTTTAAATCTAAGTGAAATATGTTTTACAGTACGTGTACATACATTATGTGAAATGTAAAATAAACTTTGTTGTATGTATTTGCATACTGTATTTTTAGTTTAATTATTAACCTAATTGTTCTTATAATTACCGCCCGATAGACCGGAATTTTCGGTAGTCCGGCACCGAGCCGGTCCCGAACGTGCCGGATTATCGGACTTCTACTGTAATTATGAACTATAAATAACTATAAACTTATAATAATTTTCTGCATCACTACTCGCAATCATTTTTCTAATAAGGATTTTTTTTTTTTCCAGGGGGAAAGTCAGCAAGGCGAACCAGGTATGCCCAACAAGAAAGCTGCGTCATTCGCATCTTTGTCCGATATGCAAAGTGTGCACCAAATGGAATGCGGTTGGCCTTTAGATGAATTCAAAATGACGCCTCAGGATATTGCTAATAGCATTGACAGAAAATGTCGATGCATATTTCCCACCGGGTTTTTGATCTTTAATGTTATTTATTGGTTAGTTCTTTGGTTGTGAAGGAAAAAATTAAGGTCATTGCAAAATGTTAAAGAAACAAAAGCAAAACAGATGTATGTACTACATTCCATCATTAAGAATATAAGCAATTAGCCAAGAGAAAAACTCAGTACGAATTTAACTGTATTTATTATGTACATCCTTAGTCAACAAAGAAAGATCTGTGCAGTTTTATAATGAAACAATAATGAAGTAATGCGCTGTTTTATTTGATAAATAAAGTTTCAGTGTTTTTAAAAACTGTAAAATTTGTACAATTCTTGAATATTTTACTATTTAAGCGAAATATCGGTTTATTTTGAGCCTGCCCAAATGAATCCGTAATTCCAGCAAATCAGCTAATTATTTTCTAAATTTCTTGGTTTCTAATTTCCACTTTAGCTGCTTAAACACATCAGAGTTCATTGCAGAGAACAAATATAAAAAGCTACTATCTCATCAGGTTCCATGGTGAAATACGACAAAAAATTAAAACAGAAGAAAACTTTTTTTAGATATGGCCACTCGTTTAACAGAAGCCAGTTCACGCAATTTAATAAAACGTCTTAATAATTTCGGCTCTTTTTGTACAACTATAGCAAAAACCGATAACAATGTAATAAGAAATAGTAAAGTCTCATATTAAAAAAAGCTGCAATTAACACCTTAACATACCTGTAATGTAAATGATAAACCTTTCAGAAAAGATAATGTTAAAAGGGTTAAATATTAACTCAGCACCAATAATTGTTATGGAATTTATCCAAGAGTAATAAACATTTAGATTCATCCAAGGTCCTAAGTCTAATAAGTGCCATCAGCAACTGATGTATAAATTTTTAGATACTTCTTCATTATGCACTTGCCTCGGATTTTGGCGGTAGTGTTGTAATAATATGTGTATTCTATTGTTCTTGTTTACAAGCATATATACACATAGTCTCCAGGGGTTACTATCGTTGGGTCTCGACATGTATTTGACTTCAATTTAAAACATGTTTGCATTTAATACGAGTTTATATATATAACACTAGCGGAAGTACTCGATGCCAGTTAAGTTATATTGAGAGTAATGTATCTAACAAAAGAGAGAAGGATACCGCTGGAATACTTCTGTAATAACGATACAAAAAATACAATTCACAGTCATACATTTTTCAGTCTGATGCGATATGGAAACCATATAAAAAAGTTCGATAGAAAAATACTCTCATTATATCAGCAACAATCGTATGCAGTTTTTAATGATTTTCGACTTTCTAATCAAATGGTCGTAAAAGCTCAAGTTCCATCCAATATTTCACGTATATTAAATTTTAGTTGATTAAATGTGGCAAAAAATTTGTCATAATTGATCAAAAATCCATAACGCGAACAAACAAACAGACAACAGACATTAAATTACATGTATAGATTTTGTAAAACATACAATTTTTTTATTAACAAACTCTACAATTTGAAAGCGAGCAGTAGCAAATACTTTTCGAAATAAAGCATTTTTATCTAAAACGCGCGATAATGTTGCCACTCGGAAAAATGAGTGCAAAATTCAGCACTTTTGGAGTTTTTAATTAATATTTCGGCTGGTTAAAGTCGTACGAAGATGTGAATAATCGAAATGGCTTCCCGCGAATTTTGGAATCGGGAATAATGTATTTAATGTTTGGCAATGCTATTTTTATTTCATAAAACTTAGAAGTTCTTTACTAACAAACTCTAGGATTTGAAAGCGAGCCGTGGCAACAATTTTCGAAAATAAAGCAGATTTTTATCTCCAGCTTGCAAGACTGTTGCCCCTCGAAAAAATGAGCGCGAAAATGATCGTTTTTCCGAACTTTTAATTAATATCTCTGATTTTAGCTACTTTTTCTTGGAACAAATGTGGACGTCGACCTTTCCCAGGAGTCAGAAAAGAATTGTAGAAAGTTTGGTGACGATAGATCTAGTAGTGACTGAGTTATTAGCGAACAAACACAGACTTTCTTCTTTATATATATAGATATAAATTCTGCGTTTTCAACTAATATTTTAATATATATGGTCGTTTATACAAATATATCGCAGCAGCTATCGGCTTATAATGCGATAGCATTTCATTTGGACGTGAAGATTTCAACGGTGAATTTCAAACTAGTGGTAGATGAGCTTGAAAAATAAGTGCAATTAGTTAACAAATGAAAACAACAAAATTAGCAAATGAAGTTTATCAATCGGATTCACTTACCCATACGAGATGCCTGTCATAATTTCATTAACATTAACGTAGTGAAGCTAAGGAAGTGTTAGTAGAGCGTTTTTTGATCTTAAACACTGAATTTTAAACGAGTGGCTGCTGAGATTCAAAACTGAATGAATTAACAATAACAGGGAATGAAATTTATTGTTCGGATTTGCTTACGTATGTAAAACGCTTGTTATACTTTTATTAAAGCTGTAGAGTCTCTCCTTCTTTGGCAACATAAACCCTTTTGAGACTCATGATGACGTAAGCGAATGAGCGTTATGTCTTATAAATTATAACAGAGGCGTATTATGGCTGTAAAAGACCTTTTTATTAAACTCGGTAAACTAACAGAAGTCACTGCTTGTGCTTACATTACCCAGCCAGCAATGGTGTAACTCAAAAATAATGAATTCAAAATTTAAAACTGCGCTAAGTCGTACATTAGGCAAAAGTTACAAGCAGAGAATACTAGTAAGTTGGCTCTGATTTAATACCGGCGTGACAAGCTTAATGGCGAGAACAACGCAACGCCGCAGACAGCAGTCTGTCTGCGGCGGCTTTAATGAAAGTATAACAGTCAAGAGTTTCAACTAGAAACAGAGCTTCAGCAGGAGGATCACGCTCTGATTCAACAGTCTAAAACCTTCCTTAACGCACTATATCTTTCTACCTCATTTGAATACGCGCGAACTAAAATTTGTATTCTGACAGGAAAACAGAATGCGAGAATGATAGAAAAGGGTACTTTTCCGTTATACGGGCGCCACGGAAAAATACTGTCAAAATGCACAACGTGCCGAAGATAGCAACAATGTGATCTGCTAAATCATCTCGGGTTTGTGAGCGAAACTGAGCCAAATATTCGTGTGTTATCATTTGCAGCCTTTCTTAAGAACTGCACAAAACATAATTTGATAGATGACTCTCTTCGTATACATTATTTGACTCATAGCATTTTTTTATAGGAAAAAGAAGTGGATTCCACAGGCAAATAAATATTAACCACAATAATTCGGGAAGTTTGCGCTCACGCCTTGTTGTGTAGACCTGATGTTAAAAATGGTGGAAATAACAGAACAGTAGAGGTTGAGGAAAGTCTTTTCACGAGATAAAGGAATAACATTGGACGTATACCTTCCTTTACAGTGGACGTTTGGAGGCATATGTAAAGAAACAAAACAATGTTTTCTGTAGCCGTTTCGGATCGCTCAGCTAAAACTTTACTTGGTGCAACTAAAAAAAAGTGTCGCAGACGGTAATACAATTTTCTCTGATTGCTGGAAAGTATACAAAACAAAGAATTTGAAAGACGCAAAATGTGATCATCTTACAGTTAATCAGAAATACAATTTCGTAGACCCAAACACTGGATATCATACGCAAACAGTTGAAAGAATGTAGGGCAGTGCAAAATGACTTTGTAGATACATTAGGTTGTTTCAAAGTAGGAGACATGAAAAATGAGCAGTAACCTCGCCGGGACTCGAACCACGGATCTCTCGAGTATGTGTCTAGTGTGGTGGTCTTTACACCACGAAAGCATGCTAAGAAGGTGGGAGAAATACCTTACATACTTCCCCTTTTATAGGGCGACTGGGGGTTAGGGGACCTAACCGCCAAATCTTGGTAATGGAGAATCATCATCCACCACATTTTTTAGTTAGAGACATTAGGACTTTCGAAGAAAGAGACATGAAATATGTGTAATGCCACCACTGGGACTCGAATTTCGGACTTCTCGAATACGCGCCGAGCGTGCTGACCACTACACCAAGAAGACATGCTAAGAAGGCGGGAGAAATACCTTATATACTCCCCCTTTTAAAGGGCGACTGGAGATTAGGGGACCCAATCGCCAAATCCTGGTGGTGGAGAATCATCATCTGCCACCTCTTTTAGCTCGGACGCCACTGTAGAGACATTAGGTTCTTTCGAAGCAGGGGACATGAAAAATGAGCAGTGTCCTCGCCGGGACTCAAGCCACGGACCTCTCGAATACGCGCCTAGTGTGCTGGCCATTACATCACGAAGACATGCTAAGAAGGTGGGAGAAATACTTCATAGCGTAATAAAGCCAACGTAGCACTTCACACCTGCATCTTGAATCATACCTATTAGAGTTTATGTGGCGACGATTACATTAAAAAAGGAAATTTTTTTCAACGTGTTGCAAGACATGACTAAAGTCATGGCCCCTGTTAAAATTTAAACTGTATTTCATTTATAACGCATTTAAAATTTATTAATACTGTTATAATAAAAAGTATTTTTCGTGGCGCCCTTATAAAGGAAAAGTACCCAGAAAAGCTACTAAACATAAAATAATTGGTTAGATTAAAATAAATAAATCCTTACAAAGTCAACAACCATAATGAAGCCAAGAGGTTGGAAAAAATGTTGACGTAAATAAGTGTAAACTGTTTTTTTTTAATTGGAGGGAGAAGTATTTATTATACTACAGCTAGTATATGAACAAAATTATACTTCAAATGAATCGAGCAAATGAGAAAAGTTGTAGTCGTAAGAGTAGAAAAGCAGTACTTTCTGAGTGTTCTCAACCTCGGTTTCAATAAAATTATTGTCCTGCATTTCTCTTGTTTTCCTGTTTTCCAGTGTGTACGCGACAGTAGCTGATCTACGCATGATGTAACTAGAAAGCATTTCTTATGGGCTGTATTTTTGTTAAACAATACCCGATTTTTATGCGGTTTGCGGAAAAAGATTCAGAAAAGAGGAAAATTTATGGATCCGTCCCGTTTTTTGATGTGCAACACCGAAAAAAAAGAATAAATAAGAAGTAACGAAAACCACAAAATGCTATACAAGGATAAATGGCTTGAGCCAATAAAACGTTGTTAAAAACTCTTATTGCGATGAGGCATATCATACGTGACTAGTAAAGGTTTGTAAAGGTTTATAATCACTTACCCTAGAGTAGGTGTTGAAAATGACCAACCCCCTGGCGTAGGCATAACCGAACTCACCGTTCCATGTTGAGAGTTGCTCCATGTTGCTCAACACTTCGCAGTGTATCGGCAATGATAT